TTACTCCATGGTCCCATTATTGACCTTCGCAATATATCTATAGCAGTTGATGAGCAAACTATACTAACTGCTGCGAAAACACTAAAGGGAGCTGCTGGACCCTCTGGCCTCGACGCTAATCAGTATATTCGTATGCTTTGCTCAAAGCAATTTCACCGTGAAGGTAAATGCCTGCGTGAACAAATTGCTTTGTTTGCTGTGAAAATAGCAACAGAAAGTCTGGATCCCTTCTGCCTGGAAGCATATGTTGCCAATAGACTTATCCCCTTAGACAAGTCCCCTGGTATACGACCCATCGGTGTCGTATACCATAATCTGCTGTCAACAATGAACATTCCAACCATGAACCATTCGACATTCAAAGCACGGGAGTGAGAAGTGGGAAAAACTGTTGAAAATGTTGCCCAAATAAGCTGCAAAGAAAATATGAACATGGAAATGAATGATGCTGTGGTGGATGGGGCAGAACCTGATGGTAATGGTTTAATTGGCATACCAGTGTCTTATGACATGGGCTGGCAGAAGAGGGGGAAGGGACATAATTCACTTACAGGACAAGGGATGGCCATGGGACTGAAAACCGGAAAGGTGTTGGCTTATGCCACAAGATGCAAATACTGCCGAATATGCCAAAATGAAAAAAAAATGGCAAAAGTCCACGAAAACACGACTGCAGAAAGAACCATACCGGTTCATCAAAAGCAATGGAATCTGATGTGGCATGTGAACTTTGGAATGCTGCGCCAAAACAAAACTTAAAGTTTTCAACCTATGTTGGGGATGACGATACTACCACACTTAGCCACCTAAATCAGAATGTGCCATATGGGGTCGAGAAATGGTCCGACATTGTGCATGCTAAACGTTTATTAACAACAAGATTATATAATCTTTCTAGCCGCTGTAAATTCCCAAATTCATCTACTCTGAGTCAGAAAGTGATCAACTATCTGGCAAAATGCTTTTCGTATTGCATAGCCCAAAATAAAGATGTGGAAAGTTTACAGAAAGCATTAAAATGCATAGTTCCACATGCATTTGGTGACCACAAAAATTGTAAAGAAACATGGTGTGGTTTCAAGAAGGAACCTTTGACATATAAACACAAGGATCTCCCACATCATAAAGATTTGCAAGGTGATCAGTTAAAAAGTGCACTTACTTCTTTACTTGATGAATATACAACTGAAACTGTTGTTAAGAAACTTGTACCATTTGCAAATTCCCAACGTAATGAAGCACTCAATAGCATCGTAGGAAGCAAAAACCCCAAAATAAGGTTTTACGTATAGTAGTGAGAGTAGTGACTTTCGGGTTGCTTGTGCTGTAGCACAAAAGAACATCGGGTATAGTTACATCAAGAGTACACTAAATCATCTTGGTATAGAGCCAGGGAATATCTGTATCACACACAACAGTAAACTAGACAAAAAAGGGAGAAAGATAATAACCGGCAAATCATTAAAAACCTGCAAAGTAAGACGTCATCTCCTTCAAAATGAACGGATAACAAAAAATACCAAAAATGAAGTTAAAGAGGGGGATAAGTCCCTGCTGCGCATGTGCCCGGCGTTTGTTTACAGGGGACTCCACCGGAAATGAACCTCTCGTTTCCAGTCCCATAATTGGCGATATACACGCGCGATGTTTATATTCCACATGAGGTGATGAGGAGTGAATGTAAAATATTTATATAGAATTC